TCTCTCCCTCTCTCTCTCTCTCCTCTCTCCTCTCTTTCTCGTCTCTCTCCTCTCTCTCTTTCCTCTCTCTCTCTCTCTCTCTCTCTCTCTTTCTTTCTTTCTATAACAGCTATCGAGCTTAGTGACAATGGCTATGACTGGTTGGGTGTTGATAGTGGTTATTGGGCTTGACTCTTTTATTAAGAAGAGTACAACACAGTAAAAGGAAGCACATGAGACGTGGTCTGGGACAAGCACTGAATGTGGCGTCACATGTCCGGCCAGCCATCACTGGGGGGCTGGAGGCGGTAGAGACCTGGGCAATGGTCGACTTCTGAGTAACTGAAGGGTCAAATATGTCACTATAATTGTTATCTAGGCCCTCAACTAGATGACATTATAGATATTAACTGACGTAGAGCATGTGTTAAACATATGGAGCCCACATGACTTCTGGTCTAATGGCTTTACACAGATCATGCTTATGTGCATGCTATAATTTGCTCAGCTACTACACAACGCCTTGCCCTCGAGGTGCCTTAGATTGCCCTCAAAGGTGAACCCACCTTTGGCTGATACATCATTGGCCAAAGAGATTCATCATGATCTTTACACCTACAACTGCAACAAACCCTATGAATTAAAAGTTTAGTGTTTTTTGTGAGTGAGTTGTTTGTGCGTGTGTGTGTTCGTTTGTTGTGTGGTGAGCATTAGTGAGTGTGAAGGTAGATTAGCTCACACAGAGAATGTATCACAAACATAAAGATTAAAGCCATTGCCGACCGGCATGCCCATGCATGCCCACCTGTGAGATTACTTTGATCTGTTTTCACCTATCATGCTACAGCTTGTACTAAATCACCAATGAGCCAGTTACGAGGACCACTCTGTCTCGCCCGTTTCACACCTTTTCTTTGTTTTACAAAATATTTTATGTTATCTTATTTTGCCTGTTACTAATGTTAACCCAATGGCGCCGGTTGTACAAAAGAAAAAAAAAACTCTACGCTAAACTACAAAGGCGGCGTGAGTAGGTGACATCGCCCGAATCACTGGCTCGCCGCGCTTTGGCGCGCGCGCCACGGCTCTTTTGGCTGCACGCCAGCTTTCGAGCTCTTGTTTACAACGCCGATCGGCGTCACCCGGCTATCAGGGGGATTAAAAACATTATAATATTTATAATGTTATAAATAAAAATAAACACCATCAATATTCATGGCACTAGTGAAAAATACCTTTTCCCGCCATTTTCAATCAGGCACTAACAGAGCCACTATGGCCGATATTTCACAAAATATGAAAATAGGCACAGCATTTTCCCCATTTTTTGTTCAGTTTTAGTTCCTGGCGCATGGTTACTTTTGTTATACATACTGTGATAATTTAACAGTGGTATTAATACAAAATTATTTCACAAACAACCAAATTGATTCAAGATTTATGTTTTGATACGACAGAACTAGTATTAGTGTGTGTCTCTCTCTGTGTGTGTCTGTTGTGTGTGTTGTGTCTCTCTGCTGTGTGTGTCTCTCTGTGGTGTGTGTCTCTCTGTGTGTGGTGTGTACCTCTCTCTCTCTCTCTCATCTCTCTCTCCTCTCTCTCTCTCTCTCTCTCTCCCTCGTCTCTCTCTCCTCATCTCTTCCTCTCTCTCTCTCTCTCTATCTCTAGCTCTTCTCTCTCTCTCTCTCTCTCTCTGTGTTGTGTGTCTCTGTGTGTGTGTGTGCCTCTCTCTCTCTTCTTTGTCTCTCTCTCTCTCTCTCTTTGTCTCTCTCTCCTCTGTTTGTGCCTCTCTCTTTGTGTGTGGTCTCTCTCTGTCTCTATCTCTTCTCTCTCTCTGTGTGTGTATCTCTGTCTCTCTCTCCTCTCTGTGTGTCTCTTCTCTCTCTCTCTCTCTCTCTCTCAATCTCCTCTCCTCGCTCTCCTCTCTCTCTCTCTCTCTCCCCCCCCTCTTCCTCTCTCTCCTCCCTCCATCTCTCTCTCTCTCTCTCTCTCTTTGGGTATGGAAAAGATGCTTTGCCTTTTCCCTCATTCTGTTTCTAATGCTCCCTTCTTCCCCTGCCTCAGGCGGACATTTCCATCCCCCCAAGGCATGTCCCCTCCGCGATCCCCTCGTGCTAGCGGAGCAAGTCGACGGAAAAGCTGTGGAAGCCACTTCTAACCCTCTGTCACTTGTCCAACAGGTACTCTCACTTATGTCTCTGCCTTTGGCTTGATTTTGTTGTTTGTCTTTTTCTTACTTTTCCATTGTCCCCTTTTGCTTGGTTTTAGCAACATTTCTTTTGGCAAGATAGTGAAAATTAGGGTCTTGTACCTTTTAAAGAGAGGAAAGCTTCGCTGTGAAAGGTTGAGCATTATTTCCCCAACAATGTGTGTGTGTGATTTTTGTTCCTTCTTGCAGATTTCGGTTTTTTGAATGGTGTTGCTGTTGAAACAGCAACCTTGAATTGGTGAGTAATTTATAATATGTGCAGGGTTATTTTGTCATCATAGAACACAAGACATTAGACCACTTATTATCAGTATGTAGGATAGGTAGATTCTCATTTCCGGTGAGTATTCCATCGGTAAAGTCCAGGAGATCTGATTCTGACCCTATCGCTATTACTATTCACTTGTTTTTTATGTGATATCATAGTTGATACTGACTTGGTTTGTGACTGTCAGACAAGTGCCATAGCTTCCTCTGACTATGCTATCCCACATTGATCACAGTAGTTTCCTGTTTTCAAGACCTATAAATAAATCACCCTTATACCTCAAAGGTATTTATAAAATGCCTTGTAAAGTTCCAAAGGCCCTGCCGACTGCAGGGCACAAAACCACTCTTTGATGGAATGGGAGCTCCCCTGAGCAACCATTCTTTTTTAATCCATCACAGGTGGTTGTATAATGTCATTTGAGGTCAAAAAATACCCTTATGATAATACTGATCATCAATCTGGTTTACAGTTATTTTTAATGGAAAAAAAGGCTTGAGATGTGTACATTCAATTTTTCTTTCACAGTTCAAGTTACAGAAGTAGACCACTGGAAGGAGTAACCAAAGTCCTAGAAAAATCAAACCAAACTTCACGATGTAGGAAAAATCCGAAGGCTTAATTGACTGGAATGGTTATATGCTCGGGGTTTGGCAATTTTATTTTTATCATTGATTTTTTTTTTCCAATGAATTTGTCATTTTCTCTCCTCAAGATTATACATCCATTTATTCCTTTTTTGGTGGCTCTAAACGTGTTTTTTAAGATTTTATTGAACAATATCTTTCTTTTTAGGTGAGCTTGTCAATGCCCGTGAAGTTGTTGATTCAGAGAACAGAATAAGCGAGAATACAGTTTTCTCCCTTGCCAGTGCTGAGAATGGGGGCAGTGCGACTCACTCCCTGAATTCCCCAGATGAAATTTACGTCTGGAATGTGCAGTGCTAGAAGATGTAGTCAGTGATAAATTTTGTACCAAAAGATGCAGTGCTGTCTCTTCATTGTCATCATCATTGATTCTATAAGAGCTGTCTATAAAACTGATGCATAAAGTTGCTGTCTCCCTAGAGATGTTGTAAAATTGATTTATATATTTTTTTCTTATTAATAATGATTTCTATATATGAATATGCATATCTATATATATATATAGTATATAATATATATTATATAATATATATATATATATATATAATATATATATATAATTATAATAGTACATATTATATATATATATATTATATATATATTATTAATATAATTTATATATATATATATATAATTAAATATATTATGATGATAGATATATAGATATATTATATTATATAGTGATATATATATATATATATCTATATTATATATATTATATATATAATATAACATATGGATATTATGGATATATAATATACATATGGATACCTATGTATATATAATATACATATGTATATATATGTTATCTATACTATACCACTATATATATATATGTATATATAATATATAGATGTATATATAATATATATATGTATTATAATATACATATGTATATCGTATGTATATATAATGTACATATGTATAATAATACTGATATATAACTTTACATATGTATATAATTATCTAAACTACATCATGTATATATATATATATAAAATACATAAATGTCTATATATATGATATACATATGTGTATATAAATATTATAATATATATATATCTATAGATATATATATATCTATATATATATATATATCTATCTCTATATCTATTAATATCCTATATATATATAATAATAGTTATTCATCTAATATATATATATCTATATATGTCTATCCTTATCTATATCATTATATCATAATGTATACTATAATATATATATATATATCTCATTCTATATATCATATCGTATATAGCTATTACTATAAATATATATCTATATATATTTATATATTATCTATATTATATATAGATATTATATATATATATATCTATATAAATAATATATCCATCTATAAATATTCATATGTATATATTATAGATCTATATATATTATATCTATATATATCATGCGAGCTATATCATATATATATCATATATATATCATATCTATCATAATATTCATATTTATATATATAGATATAATATATATATTATATATATATATATATATATCACTATATTCTCTATATATATATATATATCTATATATATACTATTCATATGTATTCTCATATATATATACATCTATTATCTCTCTCTATCCCCCTAGTATATATATATATATATATCTATATCTAATATCTTCTATATATCATGTATATATGTCTATTTTACTTTTACAGTGGAACTACAGACAGAACACCTACTGTGTTATGTATGGGAAATAGGCATACTGTACATGTAATTCTGGCTTACGTGCCAATTTTAGAATAGTACCGCGCTCTTTGTCCTTCAGCCTGCAAGAATTTCCCTTGTTGCAGAAATGGGAACCTGACATATTCACGGAGCACACCCCGCTACTAGCCCTCTCCTTTTTCCACTAATTGTCTGTTTTAATCCTCTGTTAAAACACACTGTCTTCTGCTCCCATCCTTCCCTCCTTTTCTCTGAATCTAGGCTAATTATAGGATTTGTTTGAAAAGGCACACACTCTGGTACTAATTCTCCTTTTATATGACCTTTGACAGCAATGTATACTACTTTCACTATACATCAAGCAGATGTAAGAGCAAACAGCAACACCTCATCCAACTTGCTGTGTCGCTCCCTCTGCTCATCTTCTGAAGTTGAAAGACTAATGGTAATGAATTTCTGAGATTTCTGTGTTTTGATTCGTCCTCGAGTACTGCCAGTTTTTTCACTGATGGTGGTAATGGTTATTTTAATCTCTGATAAATCAGAACCACAGTTTCAAGGATTTGGATGCCAGTGAAGTTCTCACCCCTTGTTCAGATCCTCGGCACTAGTCAACTCTTGTATCATTTATGGGGCTAGTTGTTTTGATTGGCCAG